CAGCTTGTTCTAGGCCCCCGCGGGTGGGTGTTGCCAGAGTTTCGGGAAGAAAACTGTTGAGTCGCCAAATTTAGGGAAGATGAGGAAATACGTCCTTCAGAGTGGAACATTCTGAATGAGGTTCCAGGAGTTGTGCTGATAGCCTGAGGGCTTGGCACCTTGGCCGTGCTTCCAAAGAACTTTCCAGAAGCACCTTTCTGCTGTTTCCCTATTGTTGTCAGATGGCTTGTTTCTGAGGAGTGGGGTTTGCCAGCCTCGTCTCCACTTGACTCCGTCTCCCCCATGAGCTCCCACATGAGTAGGAAGTGATGCAGGCAATGGCTCTCAAAGACCATGGCCGGAAGGAGAGTTCAGTGCTGCCCTCCTGTCTCCGGCTTCTCACGAGGCCCAGGCTCCTTCAGGAGCCTCTTATCACACCCCTGACAGCCCTCCAGGGGGGCCCCAGCTGACCCCGCAGTGTCCTCTAACACCTCCACCCCTGTGGAGGGCCCAGACATCCCAAGTGGCATTTTGCATGTTTAAATGGTGATGTGAGTCAGAGGGTTGACTCACGTGCCATTGGGGTGGGGCTGGGGTAGCTGGAGAAGGGGAAAGGTCCCGGCCTGTTTCTGTTTAGCGTTTCACAGCCCTGTGCAAACTGGCAAAACTGAAGGCCTCCAGTGGCCTATGTGTGGGGGGGCGGGGGGGGGAAGCACGCGCTCTGATAAAGCTGAGCCTTCCAGGACTCCTTCTGGGGGGAAGATAAGGAACAGACTGACAGCGGCCTCGCCAACAGACTCCACTAGATCCCTCCGAGTTGGAGCTGGCTGGCCCCTGGGGTGGGCGGGCATCTCAGCAGGATGCAACCTGGTGGAGAGGAAGGGCAAAGTGGAGAAGGGACCTCGGCCAGAGTGCCTGGGAGCTGGTGGTAGTAAAGAGTGGGGCAGGTGGCTGCTGCGCCCCTCACCTGAGCCTCCAGAAGGTGGGGGACTCTGCCCCAGGGCGGAGGCGTGGATGGAATGGAACTCAGAAATCCACACTCCCAGGTCTGCTCCCTAGCAGCCATGTAAGGTCCGTGGCCCCTGATGAACAATGACCTGGAGGGGGCATGGTCCCAGTGCCAGGTCCGTCTTTTTCTGTGTTTGCCCCTTCACTCACCTATCTCTGTCCTCTCATTTTGAAATGGAGAGCCTAATAACGGTCCAAATTCCAGGAGGCTCTGTGCTCAGCAGAGTGAGCTGGCTGGGCCACCCAGTGTGGGGCCACCCATTGCAGCGAGTCCTGGGGAAGCCCACACAGTATCTGCCTGTGACACCTGTCCCTCCGGAAGACGGGGAAGTCCCACTCACTGCCTGGCCTTACTCCTCCTGGCCCCTGGGGGCTCAAAGCTTCTGCCTCTTCGGACTGTCTCTTTGCCTGGAGACAGAGCCCACGGGGGAGAAAGTGGACATGCCCTCAGGGCGTGTATGTGACTTCTGCTGCCTTTGAGCAAGTGTCAGAGCCAGGGGATGGCTTTGGACCCCGTCCAGGATGCATAGCAGCCATTTGGACTGCCAAGAACTCATTAGACTGGGATGTAATTGGAGCCAACTGATGATTTTTTTAAATGTGTATTTTTCATAAAGGCAGTTTCTGGTATATCCTACAGCATTTTTAAGTCTGTGGTAACAGCTTAACTGGTCCCCAATGAGGTTTGCCTCTGGTGCTGCCGCCAGTGAGAAGCTGGCAAGATTTTTATGTGCTAGGTAAAGACTTAATCGGCCAGGCGACATGTTTCCCTGTTTGGCGATCATTAAAATATCCCTCAAAATGTAGTTTGCTTGCCAGGTCACCAACGATGCACTTATAAATATGGAATTTAGTAAAATCATGACGTTCAGCAAAACTGAGAAGTTGTGCTCTAAGACAAAGCGTGCCCTCTCTGGCACTGTTTCCTCCCGGGGAAGTTTTCTTAGACCCTGCTCATGTCCAGCAGCCTGGCTTGTGTGGCTTGGCCCCACAGCCACCTTCCTGCCACCCACACACGCTTGGGTCTGCTCCATTGAATCAGTTCCTCTCCATCCACCGGGACCTTGAAACCCGGTCCTCATCCTGCCAGTGTGCTCATGGCACCGCTCCGCTTTGTAGCCTCACCCTTCTGGGGGTTTTCCTGGGGTTACAGTCCAGGTCCCTTCCCAGCACACAGAGACTCTCTTAGGAAAATATCCCCAGGGCTGGGTTTGCATACAAGTGAGTCTGAGCTTCCCTCCACACGTGGTGGGGGGCAGGCCCTGCCTCTGAGTCCCCTTGCCCCTCCATGCCTTCCCTGTCCTCCCCCTCATTCTCCTTCCTCTGATGCATCTCAGTTCAGGAGCCATTTGCACTGGGGAATCTGGCTGGCACCCTGTCCTGGGCACATCATATGTGATACAACATGCCACCGTTTGCAGATGCACAGCCCTGTGGCAGCAGGGTCATTCAGGGTAGTGAAACTCTCTCCAGGAAGCTAGCTCTTTATCCGCAGCTTCCCAGCCCAGAAGGCCTTGGCCGCGCAGCGTCTGTGGATTCGGCTGTGGTAGGTCGTCTCCATCCTCGGAGCCGCCCAGCTTGTCTTCTGTGTCTGGCCTCCTTGGCTCACACTTTGTCCTCAAAGCTCATCCAGAGCACAGAATTCTCCCCAACTTTTAAAAAATATATATTTGTTTATCCAAAAGGCAGCATGATAGAGAAGCAGGGTTGAGGGAGTGAGGGAGGTCTCCCTTCTGTTGATTCACCTCCCAGATGGCTACAGCAACTAGAGCTGGACCGAGGCTGAAGCCAAGGAGCTTGGTACTCCAGGTGGGTCTCCTGTATCCTTGACAAAAACTCAAATACTTGAGCTGTCTGCTGCTACTTCCCTTGTGTGTTAGCAGGAAACTAGATTGGAAGCTGAGTAGCTGGGACTTCAACCAGCATTCCAATATGGGAGGTACATGTTAGCTTAACTAGTTTTTTTTTTTTAAAAGATTTTTATAATTGGAAAGTCAGATATACAGACAGGAGGAGAGACAGAGAGGAAGATCTTCCTTCCAATGATTCACTCCCCAAACAGCCTCCACTGCTGGAACTGCACCAATTAGAAGCCAAGAGCCTAGAGTCTCTTCCGGGTCTCCCAAACAGGTACAGGGTCCCAAGGCTTTGGGCCATCCTTGATTGCTTTCCCAGGCCACAAGCAAGGAGCTGGACAGAAAGTGGGACCACCAGGATTAGAACCAGCACTTATATGAGATCCCAGCATGTGCAACGCAAGGACTTTAGCACTAGGCTATTGCGCCAGGCCCCATGTCAGCTTAACTCTTTCAGAACTATCCTGTGCCTAGAGACAGCTGTGGTCCTCCTTAGTCCACGTCTATCTCATAGGTCAGGAGTCAGGTTCTCCCCTAGACCTCTGGGATCCGTTGGTTCTAACCACACGCTCCCAACGTGCTGTACTCTATTGAGGCTGCGTGAGCCATTCTTCTTCGTTCTTTGGATTCAGCCACGGAAAAGGGCATGCAGCAGCAGCAGCAGGAGGGCATAGAGAGATACAGACCCAACTTAGGGAGCTGACCACTGCCGGAGGCCCCATTCCCGGCCCGCAGCTGGTGCCTGGTCCAGGTGACCCTGGCCATCATCCAGATGTCTTGGCCCATGCTGTGGCGTGGCTGTGATTTGAGTGTACGCATCATCCAGTGTGCTCGTTTCAAGGCTTGGTTCTTATCAGGATCATGTGGGATGCCATAGCTCTTTGAGAGGTAGAGCTATGGGGAGGTCCTGGACCACCAGGTCCTTGCCCTCCAAGCAGATTAAGGTAGCCCTCCTGCGAGGTTGTTACAAAGTGGAGGCCCAGCCGCAGCCACTCCCTCTGCCTTCCTGTTTGTTCATGTGGTTCCTTTCCCATCTGCCCACCTTGGCTCCCCAGCTGAACCTGGGCAGTGCTGTTCAGGCTGTGGGTGTTCAGACCCATGAAGCAAACGAGGCTGTCCCCTGTGTGAGGTCCTCCCACCTCCAGCGTTTCATTAGAGCCATGGATACTGCAGACTGATGGGGAGCTCCTGTGCCAACAGTTTTCAAACACATTCTCCACAGATCTCAGCACAGAAGGACAGGCTGCAGTGGGGCCAGCTGGAGCAGACATGCATAGCTGGGGGGCATGGGCCAGGACAGTGAGTCCATGGCATGGGCTGGGAGAAGCAGAGTTAGCCAGTCCGTGACTGTCATTTCTCCTCTCCATGGGACTTGGAGGCCCACCTGGGACGGGGTGGTGTTGGGGGGAACCAGCAGCGGCACATGTGAGAATGACACCCTATCCTAACAGGAGCCCCATAGAGTGAGATGGTGATGGCACTGGTTTCGTTTGGCCCCAATGAGTCAGAGGGAGAAAGTGATCCCCTGGGAAGGAACCCACCCAAACTTGGAGGCTGAGCGTTCCATGTGGGCCAGATGACAGGCAGGGGCCTGGGGCAGCAGGAATGCCTGGTAGAGCCCACAGCCAAATGAGGCCTGGATCCTGGCGAGGTGTGGAGCCGCAGCCCCCCTCCATCCCACCTTTGCTGTGAGAGGCTCAACCTGGAGGTCTCAGAGTTGTTTACACTTTAGCGGAGCTGTGGTTCTTGACACCATAAAGATATTATTGACTGTCCTTGTCAGCGGGTCCTCCAGTGGAACCCAACCCAAGCCTTTGGGAAAACGACCCAGGAAGGACACAACCCAGGCTGGAGGTTACACCATCTTCCATGGGGCAGAGTGACATCTGTCCTGTGGATGAAAGACCTGGGCCCCTGTGACCGCCTACTGGCCCTTTCATCCAGGGAATGAGGTACCAACCCTTCCACACTCAGCTTCCTGTGTGTGCCCAGAGGAGGAAGAAGGATGGACGTGCCCCGAGGATGGTCATCTGCCCTAGGAGGAAGGGTTCCTCAGGGACCTGTGACCCTGCTCTGCCCTGCCCCATTCCCCTCCAGGAGCTCAGGTGGGAGCAGAAGGCTGACCTGGTGGTAACCCCATGCCTGCTCTCATTGCAGCGAACAGCAGCCGCTTCCAGGCCGAGCTCTGCAGGAAGCACTGGCAGGACCTGCCCCCCAGTAAATGCCACAGCACCGCCCAGGATCCCCGGAGGGAGACCAGCAGCATGTGGGCCCTCATGGTGGTGGCCCAACTGCTAGCCGGCATTGGGACCGTGCCCATCCAGCCATTTGGGATCTCCTATGTGGACGACTTCGCAGAGCCCAACAACTCTCCCCTGTACATCTGTAAGTCAGAAGGGAGGGCTGGGGCAGGACAGAGGGTAGGTGGGGATAGTGGCAGTGGCTGAACCCCTCTCTGCCTGTGATACTGTGATGCATACAGAGGCCTAGGCTCACACAGACCTGCATGCCCACTCTATGCCCTCAGAGCTGGGCAGCTCCGGGCAAGGGTCTGAACTCCAAGGTCCTGGGCATTTCCTACCCCGTCTGTTGGGTAGGTGCCACGTGGCTGTGGGATTACCTGAGATGCTGGATGTCTGTGCTATACCCTGTGCCAGGCACGTGGCACCCAGGTCAATAGCAACTGCTGCAGGACACACCTCTTCTCCTAGAGCATAGCCAGCCTGTACCCTTAGGGCAAACCACAGAGCATCTGCAGAGCCCATATCCCAGATCAGACAGACCACACCTTTGGATCCTGTGATCCCACCCATGAGCCACATACCTTTTTCCACCAGCACACCCTGAAGCCCATTGGTCGGGGAATAGGCCACCTTGCTTCTGCACACATGGGTGTCGTGCCTGGTCCTGGCTGTGTATGCGGTGGGTGTGGGCTTGTCAGGGGGACAGCTGTGGCAACAGCTCAGGAGTCCCCCTGCACACAGGAACCTGGGCTACCAGACCCTGTTGGTCCACCTGAGCCTTTTTTCTCCTCTTCTGCTCACAGCCATCCTGTTTGCCATTGCCGTGTTTGGCCCGGCCTTCGGGTACCTGCTGGGCTCTGTCATGCTGCAGATCTTTGTGGACTACGGCCGTGTGGACACTGGTAAGCCTGTGCTGGGAGCACTGTCTTGGAGCACCTCCCCCCCCCCCCATTCAACCAGGGCCAGGAAGCTGCAATTCCCCTAACTTGGTGTTCCTCCTTCCAGTCTGGCTACACTCCTGCAGCCCCTCAGCCAATCGAGCAAGACCCTGTGGCTCTCCTCTTGCCAGGGCCAAGGGCTGTGCTGGGCTGTGCAGGGTGAACTGTGAAACCTGCTTTCTGCAAGAAAGAGGTCTGTAGGAGACCTTTGAGACCTAATCAAGAGTCTTGAGTTTTCCACCATAATCAACTATCAGGATGTAACACTTAACAGTAAATCTATGAATCTTTCTGGAAAAAAAAATATATTAATTTGAAATGCGGAGGAGAGATCTCCTCTCTCCGTGTTGACCCTCTGAATGCATGCCAACAGTTGAGGCGGAGCCAGGTCAAAGCCAGGAACCAGGAGCGCACCCCGGCTGTCCCAACTGGGCTGTAGAATCCCAGCTGCTTGAATGTCACCTGCTGCCTCCCAGGGTGCACGTTAGCAGGAGGAAGGAATTCGAAACAGAGCTAGGACTCAAATCCCAAGCTTGCATCTTAATCACCTGCCAAACGCTTGTACTGGTTCGATGAGTCTTTGAGTCTGAGACATTCATGAGTTTCAGAAAAGATGTATGAAGATGGGGTTGGTGTTGTAGTGTAATGGGTTAAGCTGCCATTTACGACACCAGTTCCAGTATGGGAAGGTTGGTTTGAATCCTGAGCCACTCAACACTGGCTGTTGTGGCCATCTGGGAAGTGAATCCGTAGATTCACCATGTGAATGGCCCCTGGCTTCGGCTCAGTCCGGCCACAGCCAGCGTGAACCAGAAGAGATTCTCTCTCTCTCTCTCTCTCTCTCTCTCTCTCCTTCTCTCCCTTTCTCCCTCCTGTAAAACAACCAGCAGATCAGAAATTGTGCATTCATTCAGCAAACACCGTATCCTTTGATTTCCTTCCAGCTGCTGTGAACCTGAGCCCAGGGGACCCCCGCTGGATTGGAGCCTGGTGGCTGGGCCTGCTCATTTCTTCAGCCCTCTTGGTCATCACCTCTTTGCCCTTCTTTTTCTTCCCTCGGGCAATGTCCAGAGCTGCAGAGGTAAGGTTCTGGGAGCCCATGACCCTTGGATGAAGGGTCTTAAAGGTGGGAGTTCAGTGGATCTGAGAGGCTGCAGCAGGCTGAACAAGTTGGGGAGTGAAAGCCCAACGCACCTTGCTCGGAAGCTTTGCGAGAGGAAGGGTGCTGATGGGTCCTCATAGCACCACACACACACTTCATGTGGGAGATACTGAGCTGTGAGCCAATCAATGCCAAGACTCAGCCTGGCCCATCAGTGTTAGCGGGGTACAGCACTGTCTGACTCTGAAGGACAGAGGAAGGTGGGGTGCCTAGCCCTCTGTGTGCTGGAGGAAGGGATCTGGGAAGGACAGGATGGAAAATCTGGAAGGGAAGTCTGGCTGTTAGACTTCAGAGACTCAGACTTGTCCGGATGCTGTGGCTGGTTGGCAGTGTCTTGCTAGACTCAAGTTGGATGATTGGGAAGAAAGACCTGCCCAGGGCCACATCCAGCAGAGAGAGGAGGCCAGGGCAGGCTGGGTACCCTAGAGGGGTGCCTGGAGGAGCTGCACAGCAAGCTGGATTAGAACACCAGATGGAGCTTGGGCCTAAGTGTGAGCCAGAAAGAGAGCTTGGCCTCCAGCAATGAGGCATAAGAGCCAGGCTAAGTATGGGAGGAGAGTCAGGGGCAGGCGGCTTCAGCTTGCCTTGGGGCCAGGCCTCAGAGATTGGCAGTACGCCCTTGCGGTCTGAGGGCAGGCAGACCAGGGCTCAAATACAGCTCTGCTGCTTCCCAACCAGCCAAGTGATCTCAGGGCAGCTTGTTCCCATGTCTCCTCTTGGGTAAAATACTCAAGACTGTGCCAGTAGCTGCCTGGTAAGGAGGTGATGAGAAGTGAGACAACACATGTTCAAGGCTAGGCATGGCCTGACCTTGGCAATGATCATGTTCAGAGAGCCTTGCACCCACAGTGCGAAGGCGCTGGGGGCATCAGGCAGAGCTGACAGGCTCCAACTAGGCAGTAAGCTTGCTTAGGTCATGTGTCCAGGACTCAGGTAGAAAAGTGGCCAGCACAGGGCAGGTGTCATCATTGGGAAGCCCAGGGAGGAGACGGAGTGCACAAATAGACAGGGCATTTGGGACCAGTGTGGTTCAGAAACCAATGGTGCAAGTGGAAGCTGAGGGCAGCTGGGACAGGAAGGGACAGGACCTAGGACAGCGACTTTGGCAGTGACCTGAGCAAAGTTATCTGTGCAATGTTGAGAGGCCTATAGGTGTGTGTGTGGCAGGGGACATCAGTGCCAAAGCCCCAGGCACACTGAAAGGTTGTGGGGGGACAGTTTGCTCCAAGTGCTCATTCTCTGGGTGTCTCTCTCCCTCCTTCTGCAACGCAAGGCTACAGGGACCAGAGAGGAGCAGGGTCCTGGGGTCACTAACACTCGCCTTTTGCTGCCTTCAGGGATCACCTGCCACAGCAGAGGAGGCGAGGAAGATGGAGGAGGTCAAGTCCAGAGGCACCCTGGTGGATTTCATTAAACGTAATGACTGGGCTGGCCACCTCGGGTGTCTGTGGCTGACTACCCTGAGTGGGCAGGCTCAAGATGGGTGTGTCTGGATTGGCCACCTTGGGCAGGCAGGCTCAGGGTGGGTGTGTCTGCGGCTGGTCACCTTGGGTGGGTGGTCTCAGGGCGGGTGTGTCTGTGTTGGCCACTTCGGGTGGGCGGGCTCAGGGTAGGTATGTCTTGGGTGGAGTGCATGGTAGGGGGAGAAGCAACAGTAGCAGGTTTAAGGCATGATGGTGGCACCTCACGGGTGTGCCTATACCCCTGACCCAGGGACTGAGCTCACAGCCCTCCCCACCCCCATCTCCACCCAGCTCCGCTCCATCCTCCCTCTGGGTCCCATTTCAGGTTGCCCCCTACTGATGTCTTTGCGGCATACTCTTGTTTTATGGTGGTGGTGAGCATGCTGAATTGGCATCCCTGGGTAGACAGTCCACAGTGCACATGGTGGCCTGGGGCCTGGCCCTGAGAATGGCAGGCGAGCCCCCAGGAGGAGCAGGAGGCTGTGGCAGGTGCGCGGCCCCTGACACATTGCTTGCTTGCAGGCTTTCCACGCATCTTCCTGAGGTTGCTGATGAACCCGCTCTTCTTGCTTGTGGTGCTGGTCCAGTGCACCTTCTCCTCCGTCATTGCCGGCCTCTCTACTTTCCTCAACAAGTTCCTGGAGAAGCAGTACGGAGCCTCGGCCGCCTATGCCAACTTCCTCATTGGTGGGCATCTGAGGGTGGGCTGGGCTTCCCGCTTCCCCAGGCAGGACTCACGGGTAGAGGGGGCAGGCTGGACACAGGCACGAGACAGGAGAGGACTTCCTGGGAGAAAGCATTTCAAGGACATTTTTTCTGATTGGCAGTTGAGGCTGTTCTTGGCAGTTGAGGCTGGGAGCCTCCTTCCTCTATGTTGAGGATGCTGGCAACCCTGACAATTCTCCAGAGCCCCCACTGTCACCCAGAGCTACTGAGAAGGAGAGGGACATGGGATCGGGGTGGTGGGGGGTGGAGGGACAGGAGCTCCCAGGCTTTCTCCAGGGACTGGTGACAGTCTGCTTCGCTGAAAGCACATGACCCCATGAGCTTCAGCTCAGCTGCACACTGCAGGGTTTCACAAAATGCAAATGCCCGGGCCCACCCACCCTGGTCAATGAAGCAGGATCTGTGGAGTGGTGGCCACTGATGGGGCTACCCGCCCCCAGTAGCCTGGGGGTGTGACCACACAGACTCAGGAATGATTTGAAGGTGGCTCCTGAACCCCTGGCCTCTTGTGCCACCCTTGGTGGTGGCTTGGCCCCTCTGGTTTTCAGTCTCCACCTGCTGCTACCCTTGTCCCCAGCCAGCTGCGTGTGGTCCCAATGAAGGTGCAGTGAGATGCCAGGTATTGAAAGGTGCTTAATAGATACACATTCAACACACATCCCTCTTGCAGGAACGGCCCCTCTTCTTGACTCTTTACACAGGTTGGGCAGTCTGCTGCATTAAGTGAACTCTGGCAAACAATGAGTGATCCACTTATGTCAGCTATTCCCATTGGAATGTAACTCACCAAGTGTGCCTTCCTGAATCCACATTCCCTTTCTGGCTGCCCACACATGCCCCAGACTGCGTGCCCACGTGGCTTCATCTCTTCCTCTTGCCCCCTGCAGGTGCCGTGAATCTGCCTGCAGCGGCCCTGGGGATGCTACTGGGAGGCATCCTCATGAAGCGGTTTGTGTTCCCGCTGCAAACCATCCCCCGTGTGGCCGCCACCATCATCACCATCTCCATGATCCTCTGCGTACCTCTCTTCTTCATGGGATGTTCCACACCGACTGTGGCTGAGGTCTACCCCCCAAGGTGAGGGCAAGAGCGGGTGCAGAGATCCCCATTCCAAAGGTCTGAGCCTGGGTCCTCCTTCCTGCCTCCTGTGCTCCTTCCTTCTGTTCTGATCCCTCAGGCAGTTGCGTAGACAGCCAGATCCTGCATGTGTTTCATTGGGTCCTCGCAGACTCCAGGCAATCGGAGTCAGGGCCTTCTCTCTTTTTTCTATTGAAATGCACCTGTGAAGGAATGCGCTAGGTTGAATATCTGCTCTGGGGCGGCTGTAATCGCAGCACCTCATGGAGCTGCTGTAGAAGGATGGAAGGAGACCAAGATCTGAAAGCAGTGGCAGGCTTAACCCAGTAGGGCAAGCGAGGAGGAGGGCAGGGAAAGTAGACCCGTCAGCTTGCGCAGATCAGCGAGGCTCCTAGAGTTCCCGTCTGGCATCACATTCTAGAGCCCAGGCTGCTGAGCAAGGAACATGCTCCTGACTTGCTCCTTTCAACAGCCTTTGCTTTCATGTAACCTTAGCCTCGTGAGGTTGCCATGTTTGGAGTCACCGTGCCTTCTGTGTCTTTCTCCTTGAAATAGAGTTGTTTGTCTTTGGTGAGCACTGGAGAAAGGGGGCCCCGGTGTAAGGTTGGCTCAGCTTGGGCAACACCCTCTCCCCACTTCCAATTTTGCATCAAGGAAAGTGCGGAAGCCACAGGCCTCTGGGTAGTCCTCCCTGCAACATCAGCGCCAGCTTTGTCATCCAACATCAGACTGGCGTGCACTCTGGTCTTGGCACTCTGTGTCACCTGGAGGAAGTTACTTTGCTAACCCTTTATTTGCCCACCAAGAAAGGATGAATAATCAGTTGTAGACTCTTGATGACCATGCAAGGAAAGCCCCGGGCACACTCACTAACAGCTGGCCTTTGTCACTGTCATTAACTCAGTGTAATTCTGGACTGCAGTGATCAATCCCTCCCTAGATCTGCCTCAAGACCTTGATTGTCACAGATCCAGGACACGTGGGAACAGGAAGATCAACCAATGAGAGGCAGGAGCCCAGTGCTCCGGGCAGTGTCTGTGTCAATCCTGAGGACAGGCTGCCAAGGGGAGCCCAGCTTACCCCGGGAGGCCAGCTGCTGCCTTCAGTCTGAGTGCAGCCAGACGCGAGGGAGGGCACACATGTGAGATCTCCAAAAAGTGCCTGAAAGGGAGTCCTGGGAAAAAATTGCCTACATTTTATCGATGCTTGCACAAAAGTGAACTTAACTTTTCCATTTTCTAAGAAATTTCTGAAATGCTCTTGCATCATTTCAAATTTTTCCAGTGGCTCTTGGTTAGCAGATTGGTTAGCTGGCTGTTTGGTTGGCTGCTCGGTTGGCTGGTTGGTTGGTTGGTTAGTTGATTAGCTGTTTTTTTACTGGTTGGTCGATTGGCTGGTTAGCTGCCTAATTGACTGGCTGTTTGGTTGGTTGGTAGCCACTGGCTCGGCTGGTCAGTGGGCTGCCATCGTCCACCTGTGCTGGACCATGGGGTTGCTGATGCGGCTTTCCAATGATGACATTAGTAGGTTTGGGTTCCAGGTAGCAGAAGTAACAGAGAGGCAGCGTGGCCACCCAGCAGTGGCAGGTTCACCGTTGACTGCAACAGGCATAGCTCTGAGCCCGGGGTAGCACTGGCCCAAGACAAACAGAGACCCACAAGCCCATTAACCAGGCCAGGAACTCACACTGGGCTGCAGCCATCGAGTTTTCTTCTGTCTTGCTTTGATTCTCTGTTTCTTGTTTTATTGGCAGCACATCAAGTTCTATGAGTCCGCAGCCCCTCGCCTGTCGCAGGGACTGTGCGTGTCCTGATTCCATCTTCCACCCAGTCTGTGGAGACAACGGCATTGAGTACCTTTCCCCTTGCCATGCTGGTTGCAGCGATATGAACATCAGCTCTGCAGCCTCCAAGCAACCGGTAAGGGCAGCCAGGGCCCCGGGGGACAGGAGGAGCCTGCTGAGGTCCCAGTGCTCAGTGTGGCGCCCTCACAGATGGCTCCCCAGCTCTGGGATGGGCAGGGCTCACTCCATACCCATCACCAGGGTACTGGCCTCTCCAGGGCCACACCCACCTCCCTCCACTTCTCTTTCCTCTTGCCTCCCACCTCTCCCTGCCTCCCCCTGCCTCAGGTCATGCCCATGCCCCAAATCAGTTAAACACTGTCTGAGACTCAGTGAATTCACATTCTTGAAGCAGAAGCAAATTGAAGTACTTATCCAGCTGATGTCTGCAAGCCTCCTCCTGACTGATCCTGTGGGGGCACCTGCATGCCCTGTGTGCCCCAGCCACGCTACAAGGGCACACACATGGACAGGTCCCAGTGAAGCTGGGGCAGAGGGCCTCTGTCAGGTGGATCTGGAGGGCGAGAGGCAGAAGTGCCACTCAAAGATGCTTAGCTCTAAAATTCAGCCCCTAGGTGTGCTGTGACACTGGCCTGCAGTCAGGTCTGGGGCTAGGAGTGGAGCATTTCCATTCAAGGCCTTCCATCACCATGCAGGGCAGCCCATGTTTCCTGTGCTCTTGGGGCAAGACCCTCCCCATCCCTCTATGAAGGCTGCAGCTCCAGGCTTCCTCCGGGCAGCCAGCTGCAAACCAACTTGAGTCATTTGTTTAGGGGCAGAGGATTTGGCATTGGGTCTGTCAGACAAGGCCCCTGCCCTCAGAGGGGTGGTGTTCTATCTAGTAAGTGCAGGAGAGTTCTAGAAAATAATCCATGCCTTGGAGCAGTTCCGTGGGACAGTAAGTGCCTGGAGGCCTCCCTGAGGGTATAGCCTTAGAACAAAGCAGTCAGAAACAGAAAACCTGTGAGAAGCCAGGAGCAATGCGTGGAGGCAAAGGGCACACGGCAGGGACACATCCCTAGGGCGTGAGCGTGCTGGACAGTGCAGCAGGAGAGACTGGCTCATGTGACCCTTGAGGCATGTCAGCCCACCCAGGCCAGGCAGAGGGCAGGGGCCAGAGCTCCACAACCCTTGTTAGGGCATGAGGTCTGAGGACAAGGTTGTACCTGCTCCCTAAAGCCCACGTGGAGGCCACAGGCACAGTGAGCAGCCCCGACCATCAGTCTCTGAAAGGACACAACAAAGCTACTTGCCTGGCCAAGGAGGAGTGTGGCTCTCGGGCAGAGCGAGGGCCAGGAGTTTGAACCAGATGCTCTCTCACTTACCTTCCAGTTGGAGGAGTCAGTGGTGGCCTCTGTGGTTTCCTTATCTGTAATTACTTAGCTCTGACTCATCTACTCTCAGAAATAATCTTGACAAGTTTCCAATAAAAGCAGAAGTGCATCAAGATAAAAATCCAGTAGCATTATATCAAAGAAAAAGATAGTAAGTTATAAGGGGGGAAAAATCTCTTGAAATCCAAACACAGAGAGATAAAAGCAATTTGTGTATAACTTAATATCTGAGCTTCCCAGGAGCCAGCGCAATAAGAGTACGTAGTTCCCGCCAATGTCTGATGGAAGGAGGTATGCCAACTCATTCATTCCAGAATCAGCCCCATAGCTGCTCTTAAACTTCAGTGGTCACAGGCTGCAATGGCAGCCATGAGTGACCTCTGCCCAGCTCCCAAGAGGACAGAATCTGAGAGCCAGCATGGACGTCTGAGCAGGTGTAACCCTAGCCATGTTGATTAGCTCCTGTTTTCCAACTCCACTTTCTTTTCATAGATCTACTTGAACTGCAGCTGTGTGACTGGAGGCTCGGCTTCGGCGAAAGCAGGGTCCTGCCTCATCCCCTGCGCCCACTTCCTGCTCCCCACCATCTTCCTCATCTCCTTCGCTGCCCTGATCGCCTGCATGTCCCACAATCCCCTCTATATGATGGTCTTGCGGTGAGTGGTGCTCTGTGGCGAGGGGTAGGGGCTGGGGCTGCCTTCTCCCCTTGTTTCTCTCCATTTACCGGGACATCCAGTGGCCTACCCTCCCTGCTGCTCCTGTCTGTGGTCCTCTGAGTCTCCACAGGCAGGGTCTGGGGCTAGCACCTGCAGCAGGCAGGCCTACAGGGCCTTTAGCACCATGCATGATGCATACTTCTTTGGCACCAGGGGTAAAAGGGCCAGTGAACTGGCATATTAAATTGAGGCGAGGTAAGAGGTTCAGTAGCTGTCCTGAGAGGTGGCCCAGAGAAACCGTGTCCTCAGGGCTTAGCAAGAGAACAGGCAGGTGCTCAGAGCCCCTGGCATGTCTGTCACGTCTCCCACCACCACTGCCACCATCTTCTCAGCCACTCCCTGCTCTGTATGATGCTGCAGTGGGGGCTCCCACATGCTGCCCAGATCAGGAGAGCCACAGTGGCCCCCCTAGCCCTCAGCTGAAGCTGCACAAGGCCACAAGGAGGTGAGCAAGCCAGTGCACAGGATCGTCACCCTCCCCCAGCCTCCTGAGAACTGCTCTCAAACCCTGGAGTCAGGGTCGTCATGGAGAGCTGAGCATCGCTCCGACCACAGGGTGGGCTTTTCTGCACACTGCTGCTCTGGGTGCACTAAGGCTATGCTGAGACTGCCAGGAGATCCCAGAAACACCAGGGTGTCTTACTGAGGCATCGTCCTGGGGCAGGTGACTGGAAGCATGCTGGTTAATGTCAAGGTTAAAGACACCAGTGGCTGTAGGAGACACCGGCATTGTGCATTGTCGGCCTCTGTCCCAGCCTCCAGCCACAGGGAATGTAGACAGAGTGGCCTGAAAGCCAGAACCAAGGAGGGCAGAGACCACAGCCAGGTCCAACTGAGTCCCATTTAAAGAGTTGCCCAGGGTGAGAACCACGATGAGGGTAGCATCTGGGTTGAACTGATGGGAGGACCTAGAGTTGTAAAAGGAGCATCACCAGATCCAGTTCAAGGCCCTTTCCACTGGGAGCCTGGTGGATGTCTTTCTCTCCTGCTTGTACCACAGTGGGTATTCCCATCCCTGGGCCATCCTGGGAGCTGTTTGCCAGCAGCACTCTGGTGGTCACGGTGGAGGGGTGAAGCTGCCCATGGCAGAGGTCTGAGGGCTCCTTATGAGTTTCCTCTCGCACTGTGCCTCTGTCTGGAACATCTTCCCCAGCAGGTGCCCACTGGGGAGTATGCGTGTTCAGACCATGCAGCAGCTTAGGGCCCCATTACCCAGCAGGTGCCTGTCAGCTCCTACAGGCAGCGGGACCCCTCTTCTTGATCTGCCATCTGGCTGGCCGTCCGTCCTCTCTCTGAACTTACCCTGTCAAACATATATACCCCTCTGGTGAGGAAGGGTAGGGACAGGAGAAGCCACACAATGTGTGATTCAAAATGTAGGGCTTGATGCAATGGCTTAATTGGCTCATCCTTCCCCTTCAAGCTTCGGGATCCCATAACGGACCCGGTTCAAGTTACAGCTGCTTCACTTCCCATTCAGCTTATGGCCTAGGAAAGCAGTAGATGATGGCCCAAAGCTTTGGGCTCCTATGGGAAACTTGGAAGAAGCTCCCGGCTTCATATTGGCTCAGCCCTGGCCATGGTAGCCACTTGGGAAGTGAACCAACAGACAGAATGTTTTTTTTTTCTGTCTCCCCTCCTTTCTGTGTGTCTGTCTTTCCAATGAAAATTTAAAAAATCTTTAACTCCCACCTACAATGTCTGTATGGGTGCTGGTTCATGCCCTGGCTGCTCCACTTCCAACCCAGCTCCCTGTTGGGAATGCAGCAGATAATGGCCCAAGTGTTTGCATCCTGTACCTCCACTTGCATCCTCAAGTGGAGTCCTGGAAGAAGCTCCTCTTGGCTCCTGGCTTCAGCCTGGCCCAGCTCCAGCTGTTGAAGCTACCTAGCGAGTGAACTACTGCATGAAAGATCTCTCTATATAACTCTGCCTTTCAATCAAATAAACCAGTCTTAGAAAAAAAAACCTGTAAAACCTCTGGCTAAAAAATGCTTAGGAATTTCCAAGGAGCATTCCACCAAACCAAAGCCTTCATGAGGGTGGAGCTGTGCAGCTGCGTAGGTCAGAGGCCGTGAGAGCTGGCCCGAGGCGGGGAATTCTTGCTGCGGTCCACAGGGAGCCTGCAGCTTGGGTCCCTGATGACACCGTGTGTGCCCCAAGGGCTGCCTGCCTGGTTCGGGAGCCAGGCCACTGTTGAGACCTGTCTCTGCAGCATGCCTGCAGGTCCTCCACGCTCAGCCGCTGGAATCCACCACCTGCCTTCCTGGAAGGGACTCTGGGGCTGCCTTGAAAGCCACTCACACCACTGGTTCTCCATCAAGGGTGTGCAGCAGGGTCTCCGTGTGGGGAGCTGGTTAAAGTGCAGGTGTTGGGGACACGCCCCTACATCTAACTCTGGCTGGGTGAGGGGTGAAAATGTGTGTTTCTGAACACTTCATCCCAGAGACCGCCGCTGCTGCAGACCCGGTGACCCACTCTGAAGGCCTCCAGAGGAACATTCAGACCCCAACACCATGCAGCCATGGGAGGGCTGCTTCGGGCTCAGACTGGCTGCCTCCTGTCCCACATCCTATTCCTGCCTCCCCTGGTGATTTCCTCTCTTCCTTTGCAGCGTGGTGAACCAGGAGGAAAAGTCATTTGCCATCGGTGTCCAGTTCCTGCTGATGCGCTTACTGGGTAAGTGGCCTGCGGGCGAGTGGGCTCTTGAGGCATAGGGATGACAATAACCCCACCACCAACTCCATCATCTCCTACATGGGATGCAGGGAGGGCCCAAGAACTTGTGCCGTGTTCCGCTGCTTTTCTAAATGCCTTGCTAAGAAGCCAGATTGGCAGTGCAGCAGCCAGGACTCAAAGCAATGCCCACCTGGGCTGCCAGCAGCAGCTAAATGTGCTGTGCCACATTGCCAGCCCCTGCAGGTGGATTCATGCACTGCAGTGGCACATGGGCAGTCCAAGGAGGGAGGCTTCTGTAGCTGCCTTGATGAGGTCCCTCCCCACAGGAGCTTCCTGCCAGGCTGGTTGCAGGGTGGGAGCCCAGGGGGTTCAGTGTATCCCCACCCAGGGCCAGCCCTGGAGTGTAAGCGCACTGCATGCTGCCTGTCTGAGCCCAGGTAACCCTGTGCAATATCCTGGCCTTTTCCACTCTAAGCGGCTGGTGTAGGAGCAGGTCAGGTGTCACCAAAAAGCAGTGCAGCTGCCCAGACTCCCTGTGGGTTCCAGGGGGTGGGTGGGGCCCTGCACGCACACATGCACCTGCAGCGGGGTGGGGGCAGAAGAGGGGATGCTGGGGAGCTAGCCCCAGTCGGGGGTTCTGCCTGCAGCCCCGTGACAGCTGAACTCTCCCTCTTCTCTCCCAACCTCTGCCAGCCTGGCTGCCCGCTCCAGCCCTCTACGGCCTCACCATCGACTACTCCTGCGTCCGGTGGAGCTTTCAGTGCTCCGGGCGGCGAGGGGCCTGCATCTACTATGACAACGATGCCCTGCGGGACAGGTGAGACGCCAGCAAGCCAGCCTGCATGTGGAGGAGGTCAGGCCCTGGCTGGAGCAGAGAGTGAGCCCCTGGGCGCCTGTGGACAAGGGACAGGACAGGCAAGAGTCCCACTGGGATGGCGCCTGCTGTACTGTCATTGTGGGGAGGTGGGGGTGGAGAGAGGAGGCTTTGAGGGGAAGGCACAACAGCACATCCCCACCAAGGCAGGGGGTGCTGGAGGCAAAGGGGGGGAAGCCTTGGCCATGCAGCCACCTGGTGGGTGTGCAGTGGACACTGAGGATGACTGGGCCAGGAGTCCCAGGCCCTGCTCCCCCTTGCTTTGTGCGTGAAGAGAGTGAAGACGGTTCCTGAAGCGGGATCCCATCCCTGCCCGGGACCACTGAGGTCACTCTTGCTGATGGCCTTGGCCATAGGGACGCGTGCTGCCAAGCCCCTCCCTCACGGCTACCATGTCCTCCTGCTCCCTCAGGTACCTGGGTCTGCAGATGGGCTACAAGGTGCTGGGCACGCTGGGACTCTTCCTGGTCAGCTGGAGGGTAAAGAAGAACAGAGAGTACAATGTGCAAGAGAAGGCAGCCGGCCTCATCTGAGCACGCGCCCTGCCCCGGGCCTCGCTGGCCCGGCCACACTGCCTTACTTACTAGTGTTAACACGCCCTTTCTTTTGTGTTTTTTTGTTTTGTTTTTTTTTTTTTTAATATGAGGGAAGACCCTAGCCACCATTTGCCTTCCATCTCTCCATCTCTCAGAGGACCCCACTCCCGGCTCCTGGGAGCTACTATGTGCCCCAACTGGGTGGGCACAGAGCTGTGCCCGAGTTCCTCTTGGTGCTGGATCCCCACCAAGGCAGCCCTGCCCCTCACCAGCCTGGGAACAAAAGGACTGCCTTCCCTCCTTCTTAGGGCGCCCAGCTCCCACCCTGCAGAGGGAAGGATGGGAGAGAAGAAGCAGGGATCCAAGCTAGCTGGGTCGGGGAATACCTGGCAGTGCTTGTGCCTGGGTTCAGCATCGGCAAGGGGCGCGTGAGAGGAGGCAGGCTCCCTTCCCGCCCTTCCAGCCCCCGGAGGCTGATTTTTTGGGAATCCACCATATTGGAAAGTAGGGCCCTGCTAATGATTCACCTGCAGGCTCTCCCAGGAACCATGAGGAGGGGGTCACCCACAAACCTTTCTGCCCCCCGCTTCTGGAACCATCCATGTCTGTCCCTGTCTTCCCGGAGGCACATGTCAATCTGAGAAAGCCACCACCAGGCGAAGACCAGAGGGGCCTGCAGCTGGCCACCATGCCCATTCACCAAGTGTGTTCTGGGAGAGATGAGGTGGCTCCGTGGGGACTTCCCTGTTGGATTCCCGCCTGGGTATCAAGGAGTAAGACGACACAGCTGAGGTGTCCCCAGCATGAGAGACAAGCCAAGCAGAGGCCGACTGGCGCCACTCGGTGGCTGTCACCCACAAAGCAGGTGTCCAACGAGGCTGGGTCACCAGGCTTCACACACTAGATATCATCCATCAACACCTGCTCGGCCCCTTCTCCTTGCCTCCAGATAGGAGGGAGCCCACAGCATGCCAAGGTTGACGGCTACGGCTGTGTGGGATGGACATTCAGAGGCAGGAGCCCTGCACAGCAAAGACTCTTGTGTGCCAGACACAGCTGTTGGGTGAGGGCATTGTAAGACGCCATTTCTCAGCTCCCTGCAAGGAGTGGAGGACAGCATGAGATGAGGAGGAGGAGGAGGGACCCAGCCTGGCAGAACCCAGAGGCTGGCAAACCCAGGGCCCTTCCCACTCACTGACTATGCACCTGCCCTGTGCTGGATGGAGACAAAGTTCCCAGGGCCCCCAAGAGTCAGCCAGTTGTTGGCCATCACTAGACGTTCCCCTTGAATGCCAGTTGTCGTGGCGGACCCTGGCGGGTCCCTCCACCCACATGCTCTGGAAAGATCCACATGGATCTCCACATGGTGATTGGTCAGACTGCTATGAGACTGAAGGAAGTGCCGGGGAAAGCCGCCTCATTCGGGAAGGGAGGTTGGGGGTCTGCCTGGGACCTGGTATCGGCAATGCTTCAAGACCATTTCCCTGCAACTAACCTTGGTCTTCCTCACCGCAGTTTAACCCAAGGCTCAGGGCACTGCCTTTGGCTGAGCTCACGAAAGAGGAATGCCACCTTCTGAGCCTGGCATGTTGGTGGCCCTCTTGAGCCTCCCTTTTATTATGATATTATTGTAATGATGTAATAATTATCATTTTACTTTGGACTTCACTTGCTTGTGGATTTGTGCTGTCCACATACAGCTGTTGGAGAGCAGGTGGAACCTGCACTTACAGTCCGGTGAGCTGCCCTCTGGAGCCCATGGCCTTGGGATGTTGTGGGGGAATGCCACTCCCAGCCCATCAACACACACGGGCAGGCACCCAGTGTTTCTCACTCTCTCAGTGATGTTTCCCAGGCCACTGTGTAAGGCCTATGGTGCTTGGCTTGCAGAGGCCTAATCGTTACCCTGGATTTTTAAAGCCAGAAGTGGGACTCACCACAAACAGCCAAGGCCACGACACAAAACTCACAACACTGGGTCAATATCAGAACCATGAACATCCCAACCAGTGCTACTGCCCTTCCCCCACCATCAGACAGCAAATGATCCCCCCCTGCTGCCAGCAGGGGATAGCAGGACCACACCCCTCGCCGTTCTAAAGCAGGGCTCAGCAGACTCACAGAGAAGGTTGTCCATGCACATCCCAGCCCTGTGTCTGACACAGCGCTCAGGCCTCTGCTAGAATAGCAGGCCCCCCAGGCGCTTGGTGGATCTGACCACAAGTGAAGCATGGGGTACTATGGTCTTCCTGAAAGGCTGTGAGGAGTGAGCGGGCACGTACAACCTTCAGAGCACTCAGTGCCTGCCAGAGTCTGGTCTGGTGTCATCGTGTAAGATATGGTGCATTCTTGACATCAGTTGAGCCTGGCTGACCGGCTGGTGATGTGACGTCATCTTTCTTGGGTCTGCCTCCATGCACGAGTTCCTGGGTACCCATCCCTCAAAGCCACTGTGCTCTTAGGTCCTGCTGAGTGCCTGTGCCCCTCACTGAGTCCGGAGACCTTGCAGAGGCCAACCCAGGGCCGGAGTCCTCTGCTAGTGCACACACTCCTATCCACACATCCCAATGCCCCATTCTTTTCCCCTTCCTAGTTCCGCCCCGGCCAGTCCTAGGCAGCCCACCCCTCGGCACCTCTGCCTCTCCCCCATGCAACCCAGCCACTCCAGGGCAGAACAAAAGGAAGGGTCTGCAGGCAGCTTTTGGCATCATCCTTCCCGGGCCCTCCTTGGACCAGGGAAGGGGTAAATGCAGAGAGAACCAAACGCCATGGCTACTTCTGTTGTCGTTTGGCTGGAAGCCCTCTGCAGTGGTCCTAAGCACAGCCCAGGACCGAGATCCTCCTGGTCCTGAGGCCTCGCTCAAGATGAGGCATCTAGAATGGAGGTGATAACCAACATAGCCCACTCCAGCTTGCCAGCAGTCCATGAAACTGCGCTGACGGAACACTAAGCCAGGGAATTATAAGAAAGGCATGGAGTGGCCAGTGTGCTGGTGCAGCGGCCTTAGCCACCACCTGACACTGCAGCATCCCATATCACGACACCCCCTCAAGTCCTGTCCGCTCCTTCATCCAGTCCCTGCTAATGCACCTGGGAAGGCAGCAGCAGAAGAGGACTCAGCACTTGGGCCTCTGCTACTCATGTGGGAGACCAGGGGAGAGTTCCAGGCTTCAGCCTGCCCCAGCCCTGGCCATTGAAGCTGTTTGTGGGAGTGAATCAGCAGGTAGAGCATCTTTCTCCTTCTCTCTGTGTGTGTGTTTAACTCTACCTTTTGAATAATTCAGATGAATCTTTTATAAAAGAGAGAATCATAGAGAGAAGGAGAGTTTGTGAGCAGGAAAGGCCTTGGGGGACTCTGTCCCAGCTAGAGTCCCTCTACTCCTTGCCCCACTGTGACTGCCCAGCAGCTTCTCCATAAAGGAAAGTCGCTATCTGGCCTCCAAAAGTGAGAGGGAGATTTAAGCTGGGGCTTGCACGCAAGCAGTGTCAAATGGATAGTAACTTGTTACGTTTTTCCAGAGAGATTTTCAAATGGTTTCGTATGATGAGAGAGAAATCGGGGAGGAAAGAGTGACCAAACCCAGGAGAAACTCCCATCTTTCACAACCACAGGAATTCCACCCGGGAGAAGCACTGCTCCTGCTGCTGCCGGCTGCGGCTGGCTCACTGTAATCTTTTAGCAGGGATTAAATATGTGCAAGCCCGTAGTAAATCATCAGTGGGAGAAGGCTGTCCTGTCCTTTTGTCCCCTTTCCACCCCTGCACCATTCCGCACAGGGTCTGTCCACCTTGCTCAAGTCCCTACCCACCAGGCACCAGCTGTTTCTAGATAGTAATAACAATAAAACCTGTGGCTGGCACTGTGGCACAGAGAGAAAAGCTACATCCTATGGTGCTGGCATCCCAAATGGGGACCAGTTCAAGCCCTGGCTGCTCCACTTCCATCCAGCTCCCTACTAATGGGAAGGCAGAGGAAGATGGCCCAAGTGCTTTGGCCCCTGCACTTTACTAATGTGCCATGTTCCTCCCCTGGAGACCTGGAGGAAGATCCTAACTCCAGCTCCAGTATTTGCAGCCATTTAGGGAGTGAACCAGTGAGTCACAAATCTTTCTCTGTTTCTCCTTCTCTCTGTAACATACATGTGGTGACAGTAAGAACTAAAATACACACCGACCTTCACAGCTCCCCAGGCTGTTCAGTTCACAAGCTTCTCTCATGCTCTGGTCAGCAGCAGCGTGACCGTGCTGTGACCATGAGCCTCACCAACCCCAGAGGCCTGGCAAGGCTCTGTCTTGCTCACCTTTAGTCCACATCGGGTGTAGGGGCTGTCCAGGGCAGGGGCTTTGAGTGGTAGCTCAGCAATCCCAACTGCCTGGATCCTGAGTCACCTCCACTCGGTCATGCGGTCATGATGCGGGGAGGCAGGGGAAGAAAGTTCTGGAAGCTCCTCAGGGTTACGTGGTGCTTTGCAGAGAAGAAACACAACTTGACTCCAAGCCCATTGGCAGGTGCTGGTCACATGGCCCAGCCTACCCGCTGAGGGGGCAAGCAGGGGTCATCCAGAGGGTGCTCAGAGGAGGGGGAGGGCAGGTAGGTGGGCACCCAAATCCTCTCCATGGGCAGCAAACCTGGGAGGACACGAGGGCTTAGGTCACCAGCTAAGCAAGCCTTGTCAGGCATTGGGGTGGCAAAAGTTCAAGCAAGCAAGGTTTCCCCCTCAAGGAGGCATTCACGGCGGGTACAGCTCCAGGCAAGGCTGAGGCAGAAAGGCAGGGAGCTAAAAAGGAGGTGATGATTGAGAGATGCAGGTCAAGTGGGGGCAGACAAAGGAGAGGGTGGGGGAAGGTGGGTCCTCAACAGGGAGGAGAGGACAAACCCGTCTGCAGGGGGGAGGTCTAGCCCCAGGCTCGGCAGCCCAACGACACCAGCATGACCAGGCCTGGCGCAGCATCCTGCAGCAGGTGCAACACAGGCGCCTCCCCTGTCCAACACCCG